CATCTTTATTCTTTCCCTGTCTGTATCTTTGGCTCACTGCATATGAAACACAGTGGGGCCATCAGAAGAACACACAGAAGCAGCCCTGGAGATGCTCTGGATCCTTAAGATCATCTAATCACTTTAAAAGCTCATCAAAGCTAACTCCAAAGTTAGTCTTTACTTCCCACATAAAACCCCACTGGAACCTTCCTCCAGTTTCTACTGTGACTCTATTCGTGGCAGTTTGCATGTTCTGCTTTGTTGAATATTGGCTTAAACAACTCTTTTCCCTCCTTGATTTCCCTCTTTCAATGGAAACTCACCTCTGTGTTACTAAACTAAGCAAGTGTCACTAAGCCAGACACAATTTTCTAGTCTCTTCTCGTATGACGGGCAGAATAACTATCTTCCATGCCTTCAGATTTTCGGTTGTTTACACGCAATGTGGGATGACTAAAAAGCAGTGGTAACATATTTGGAAACCACAGTAGGATGAGGCAAGTCATATCTGACACTCTTGCACTCTGGAGGAACAGGAGTAGCCTTGGAGAAGCCACTCTACTTCAGTGGCTGAGTTTATTTCAGTAGCCTTCCAAGTACTAATCCTAGCCCAAGGATCCAACTAGTAGAAGGCATGATTGAGGAATGACAATCTCCAGTATTCAAGAGGACATGTGGAAACTTAATAAATGCTTCAGGTGGGCAAGCAAAGTGGTATTGTCATCATCTGTGATTTATGATATATCAGGATAACTTTCATAGAAGTTTCTCAACTGCTTCTTTGCATTGTGTCTTTTCTTTCACATGTGCACAAATGTCACGATAGCTCTGAGAATTTCTGTGGTCTTCTAGTGATACGGATTTAGAATTTCAATCTGCTCGAGCAGGTTATGTCTAAATGCAATAGGAGGATGGCAGAGTGTGAACCACTACCGATGGCAATGCCAGCTAGATGCTCTGGTGGCTTCCCACCCTCATAAAAATGCTCTGATGACAATGACTGCTCCAAACAGCACTGTCACGGTTTGTCCACACCTGTGAAGTTGTGCATTCTCCACTAGTCCAGCAGAAGTATAAATTCATGGTGTGGGACCCATCAATGCAAACAAGTTCTAGTCTCCTGTATCACTCATGCCCTGTGTTTGGCAATGTGTTTCTAACACAAGCAGAGTTGACGTTTGGTGTGAAAATGATGAACAAAAGAAAAAAGTGAATGAAGACATTCTGTACCGGAGAATGGGGGGAAATCAGGGATTTGTGGAGCAGGGGAGAGAAGATACAGCTGAAGCTGTGGTGATATCTGGTAACAATGCTGGTATGGTTTCAATGCACTTGACCATCATTGACGGATTTTTAGCTGAACTATGCAAATGCATGTAAGTATTGGTGTGCTTAGCTCCATGCAGAGAAGCTGCCATGCCTGGGTGACAGTAGAAGAGGCACTACCTGCCTGCAGACAGAATAGCTCTGTTCTAGATGGTTTAAAAATAAGAATATACCAGTATCCACAATGAATTGCAGTCAGTAGGACCACTAAACGGAAGGGAAATGGAGCAGGAAAGAGAAGTAAAAGGTGTTCATGAGGAAAACGGTTCATGGGAAAGGAGAGCAGAAGTAAATTTAGAGCACCAGAGGTACAAAGGAGTTTGACAAGCCCAAAACTCAGAAGGAGCTCACCTCACTGAGCAGCATTACAGATCTTGGTTATTCCCATCCTTGCCCCCTTAATTAGTGTCATAGTCAAAGCCTAAAAACTTCCAGTGCTATTTTTTACCATTTAACTTGTGTATGATGGACAACTTGCTTCTGGAAAAACTGCAGGAAACAAATCCCTATTACAAATGTCATCTTCCATATATTGAAAGAAAGCTGCAACGCTCTGGTCAAGGGATAGCAAGTAATGCACTTTAATAAAAAAAGGTGCCAAAAATATTTTCATCTAGCTCCTTCATATGGTACTGACGGATGTCATGAAATAATAAAAATCTTCTGGATTTGTGAATGACATAAAAATTTAATGTCAAATGACATCAGGACTATGCTAGGCATTTTATGGTTTCTAAATGCCACGAGATATTTTATCCTTTATTTACCATGAGAAAGGATATTAGTCATTTGAAGAGCATATTCATTGGCAGGAAAATGACATTAACTCTTTGTTTCCCAGTATTTCATGCTTTTTCTGCTATAAATATAAGAGATCTTCTCTTGCTAACAATTCGGTATAACCTTTCATGTTCCTGCAAAGGGATCAAAGAGTAAGACATAAACATTAACCAGATGATTGATTTCTTTGAAAGCTGTTCAGTAATGCTCATTACTACAAAGGAAGAACTGCTTCACAGACTTTAATGGCATTAATTTTGCAACAAATATGAGAGGCAATCTTACCCTCTCTTTATTTAAGACCATATCTGTTTTCCACATTTGTATTTGACTGTGCAAAGTGCATAGCTCAGAGAAAATCAAAGCTGTTGTTTCTGCTTTGGAAATGGCATTAGTTCCTCTGTTTACAGAAGGAGATGCTAGCACATATGCTCTGCAAAGGTGGCATTCAAGACATTCATATCTGCCAGAGCCACTCTACAATCATTCCATTGTAATGGAGAGAAATATGTGGTTTATCCATGTTATTCAGCTCATCCTGAGTCGAAGTCTGCTGAACTGCACCTCTAACAAGCCTATTTCTGGCTGCTGATGGTAAAACAAGCTCTGAGATAGGTTTATATATGGAAAACTGTAAAATCAGTTCACATGAATGCCATTCCAGGTTAGAATTCAGTTTCCTAAATACAGGTATCTTAGCACCAATACAGGCTGGTGCTCATGGATAACTTAAACCCCCAGAGTATCTAAGATGGCACCGGCTGCTTATGTTTAAGAAACTAATGGAGTTCTCAGTGTGTACAGTGTAGGTGCCCACCTGTGAGCTTAGTGCCTGCATTTCTACTACACTCAACAGAAAATTTATCAATTCAGGCAATGACAACCAAAGAGCTCTTCAGGTTCCCATATACAGTTCTGACTGCACTGACTAGATTACTGTTGATGTTAACAGGATCCCAGACACCTATCTCATACAGACACACTTGTATTAGAAACAGCAATAATTAAGAGTGCTGAAGCCACTTTCTCCAACAAAGCAAGTCACTCTATGCTTTACCATACTAAGTAAGGTAAGACAAAATAAGAAATAGGTATTGTCAAGGTGCTGTTCATCTGATCTCTTAAAACTGGCTAATATATGATGAGATGAATCAGCCATCACTGACCTAACCAGCCAGCTATCAAGTGAGTGAAATCCCTGGATGACAGTCAGATGCAGAAAACTACATTTAACCAGAGGAAATTCATGCAAAGTAGTGTGAAATTGCCCTAGAAGGCTGCTGACCTTGCCAACTGCAAGGCTAGATGACATTTGCTAAATTTTGCTCGCAGAAGAGGACAAAAGCCAGCAGCCATATTACAAAATGGGTTGGCTTGTGTTTGAGGCTCTTTCTTGGCCTGGCACATTAAGTGCATAGAGAGCCCAAGTTATGTCCTGAGTGCTCTCAGTGAAGTCTGGACTTCTCCCAGGACAGGAATCATTCACATGCATAAGCATAGGTTTTATGAGATACCCTTAACTTACCTGAGAGACCCAATGACACATGAACTACAGGAGAACTGCACCTTTCTGCAAGGGAACGTGGAGACTATGATGTCCTAGGATATCTCGGAGGGTAGTACTTGCTCCTCAATGGGCAAGTTTATTCAGTCTCATAAGCCCATCCTACCACACAGATAAAAGCATTCCACTTTCATATATACAATATAAATATGGGTATGTGTATATATATATGATCAAATATATGTAATTCTTTCCTCATTGCTCTGCTCTGGTGGGAAGAAGTATAAGAAAAAAATATTTTTTTTTTCTTCCTGTTTATCTAACTCTGTTGGGTCTCTAAAACCCAGTGAGCAAATGTGCTCAGGAGAGGAGAGGGCACAAAGCATCAACAGCCAGCAATTATTCCACATGGCTCAACCAATCCTCAGGAGTCTCATCCTGCAAGATGTGATATTACAGCAGCTTCTTCCTGCTTTCTCTGCAATGCTGAACTACAGGTGAGTTTTGGAAACAGCAAGGTTACAGAACTAGGATAGTACTCCAGGATTTTGAATTTCCCTTCTGGATCTGCAAAGACTTTTGGTGCAGCCTTGGGCAAGTCATGTAATTAGCATGTGCAGGTTAATCAGTGTAGTGCCCTTGTCTGTTAAACAGGGACAATATTGTATCCTTTCTCTCACTCATAATCTACTATGGATGTCTGGATTGTAAGGCTGCAAAAGTGGAGACTTATCAGCTTGGTGCATAAGCTTCAATGCAAAAGTATTTAATTCTCTGTGGAGGCCTGCAGGAATACTATAAAAATAGTAAATAATGACTATGAACTACCAGGAGAAAAAGAGCCTTGTTGCTACATGGCCCTTGAGACCTGAGTTTTAAATTAAAGCTTCCCGGAACACCCTGAACAGTGAGTTAAGCTACTTTCCCCATTAACCTTTCCTGCCGAGTATTTGTCCGGTTAATTTCTTGGCCTGTGGCCAAATCTGTCATTTCAGCAGAAAAATACTTTATTAGGTACAGTTTCAGCTTGTTTATTTTATGTCAGTGACTTAATTAATTACAGTGCTAAACTGTTTGTTTTGTACAACAAACATACTATTATACAGGCTGATTCAACTTTCACCACACAACATCCATATTACTATATTTCACCTGGAGCCATTTTTGCATCCCTATGATCCAGGACAGTATATGGTGCTGCATGAAGGATAGGGAGGTTGTTCTAATGGTTTGGGCATTCATGTATAGCTTGGGAACCTCCTCTACCTTGTGCAAAGAGCTTGTTTCTCCCTCTGATTATACCAAGAAATATCCCCTGGGATATGATATGAAGTCCCACAGGCAGTGAAGCTGTAAACCCATTTCAGTGCAATGGACTATCTGGTTTTGCTTACCAAGAAAAGTTGTGAGGAATCTGAAGTACTTTGGGCATGGCCGTACCACAACTTCTCCCACGTCCGCTTCGGGCCAGCATGTGATGTTGTCCCATTGCCTTCTGCAACCTGGGGGAAAAGAGGAAAGCAGATGGTAGAAGTGAGATCTGCTGGATGGAGCAGAAGAACTGGGGCAGAGCAGTTGCGCAAAAGTGTGTGGAGCTTATCACCTTGGTGCAGGCACCTTTTGGAAGGAAAGGCACAGAAATATTTTGTTTAAACTCGTAACTTTCAGCTACCACAACCCCTGAAAATCAGCACTGGTGTTGTCTGTAATATTCCAGAAATATTACAGAAAGAACAGTAGATCAGTGCAAGAACTGGGCAAATGAGAGTTAATAGAGAACAGTGCCTTTTTTAAAGATGAAAAAGGCAGAAATGCCTAATTAAATCTCTTTTTTCTTCGCTCTTAGCTCTCCCTGTTGCATTAAAGCACCTGGTCTGAACATATGAGACATGCTTCCCTTCCCTCAAACTTCCGTCACTACCTTTTTCTTCCCCTTGAAATGAGATGATCGTTCAGGGGATGTGCTAAGCAAGGAGAGGATGCTGATGACAATCAAGGGATCAGGAGCCAAATCCCTTCCCCAAAAGCAGTTATTCTCCTTAGAAAAGGGAGAAGGCACAAAACACTCCTGTGGGCTGAGAAGGGACAGTGCTGTTGCCAGGAAATGCTCTCTATGGAAGGGTGGTACAAAGTGGTACGCTCCTAGACATCCAAGCTAGGAATGAACGCATAACCAATGGAGCTACCTTCAGGGAGAAATCGTAGCAGTTTGTTACAATTCAGCATTTCTGATGATTTTCTGCATAGAATAAAAACTTCTTGGGAGAAAAAAATTGCATGTCCTTCCTACAGAATTATAATATCTTGTTCTGATTTTGCCCTTTAGTTTCTGCTTTCACAAAAGACATCAATGAAGTCACATACACACTGCACTGCTGAATAATGTAACATTAACACTAAAGCCAAAAGGATTTGGTAGACCTGAATTAAACCCAACAAACAAACAAACAAGTCATGTTTTTGCCTCAACGTGTTACATGTTTTAGAGTTCTTACTAGAATTGTGAAAACTTTTTTCCCCCCTTCATGCACATGCACTTCAATTGCTGCCTGGGTTAGATAAATGGGTTGTCAACAGATCTCACTGTTTTATAGCACCTCTGCTCTCAGTTATTTGTCATGCCCTATTAGATTGCAACACTTCCCCAAATGTGACTAGCATGTTACTCTTAAGGTCAACAGCATAACAAGAGAAACTAGACTACGAAGAAGAAAGCTTTGAGAAAATAATTTTCACATGCAAGTAAAGGGAACTATGAAAACCACTGTCAAGCTGCAGTTCCTGGTAATTATATCCCGATCTGAAATTCCTCCTTTAAATCCTTTCTCACTAGTTCAGCTAAGAAAAAGGCTGGTATCACCATCAGTCTGTGTAGACTGAGACAGCGTGCTGTCTCAGATCAATAAGGAGATCACATAAAAATGCTTTGAAGCTGAAAAAGATCCCTCAGCTATCTTTCAAAGTTATTTTACACGTTTTTCTATTCTTTGACGAGCAAATAGAACTTTTCAAACAAAGTCCTGAGGGGAGTTTATTGGAGTCTGAAAAACAGAATACCTGGCAGTATCTTCCTCGTGCATGTTCTTGTGTAGAATTCATTAAAATTCAGTTTTCAGGTTTCTAATATCAGGTGCATAGCTCAGTTTCCAAAGTGTCATACTTATCTGCCACCAAACAGCCAGCAGCTCCAAAAGTATCAAGATATTAGATATTCTGCCTATGGAAAATAGATGATTTTGTGGCAAGATCTTTCATGTTCTACAATCTTTTCCTCCGTCAACCTCAATAAATTATAGCGCATCCATTACCTCAGGACAGGTTATAATGCAAAATAAAATATAAGGCGATAGTATCAGATGGCTTTTTAAATGTCCTGAATTCTGCACTTTGAGAATTTTTGTGATCTGTATCTGTTTCTGTGTTAGCATTTTTCATCACCACCTGCGATGCATGAAGAAAGCTTTTAGGTGTTTACTTGTGTAACAAAAGCCCTCTTCAGTTAAAATAAAGTGAAGACACACAACACTGGCCTTGCAAGACACACAAAGGGGATCTTTAAACATTATTGCCTCTGTAAAGACCTCTTATACATACCTCCTAGTTCTTCCAACACCATTCTTCCTTATTGCCCCACCAGATGTTCTGACAATATTTGTGCAGCTGCCTGGAAGAGCCCAGGTTCTAAAGGTGGGATTTACACCCCTAAATTTATACATCTAAAGTCAGATGCGTAAACATAAAGAAGCCAATGGAAACCAGAGCTCTGGCTGGCAGTTCATGTAGTTCACTGTAGGATGGATATCTAAAGTTAAGAAAATGAATCATTCTTTGGAGATATCATCTTCTCTCCAGTGACTGGAAGACAGCCTGCATGAGCAACTTGAGTTTAATGAACTGGAACAATAAGACTGATACCTACAAGATGCTTTGCATTTGCAGTTCAACACTTGCTGCTCGCCCTGTAGCCATCACATTACAACATCTGGCAAAAGTCTTTGCCTGTTCATCTAAAACACAGACAATCATTATCAAATATCATTCCAGAAAATGGTTTTCTTTCTCCAAAATTGATAAACCTTACCGTGGCAAACTGCTGGGATCAGTGGGTTGGCAGGTAGTATTCAGTCATGTCAGCATGACAGATTAATACCTAAAAAAACTATTTGAGAGCAGGAACAGCTGCAATGTGCTTCGGAAAAAGGAAATCCCTCTCTTCCCTGTGGCATCACTTGGCCTTCATGGATGTAATAATGATGACAATTTGTTTAGTCTGATCAAATCATGTTTGATGATTGCTAAGTGCTTCTCCATTAATTAATTCTAAATGTTGTCTTTCATCTTCTCCCTCACACTCAGTAGCTGTAGGAAGGATGCAAAGGTATTTATCAATTCTTACCCAAGCAGAAGGTACAAATGAGCCACGAATACATGTGCCCTTCAACTCCAATCAAAAGAACTGCTCTGCTCATTTGCTTGTTACTGAAAGCTGAGGAATACACACTGCCAAGGGCTGTGCTTTGCATTGGAGAGGATCTCAAGTGAGTCTGGGAAGCAGTATGAAAATAAATATGTGACTTTTTCGAGACAGTGTTGTTTACCACATCTCTGGTAAACAATAAAATAAAATCCTTTCAACTTTTCTCATTATAAGTACATATATATAT